CTTGGCATCTGCATTATCAACACAAATACGGAATAACTTTCCAGATAAGTTACAAAAACAAAATAATACCAATAATAGTAACGATCTCAAGTAAAATTTTCGTAGAGCACAGTAACGAAAAAGGAAGCAATGAAAAAAAAAACAATAAACCAAAGATGTTATAGGGAAAAAAAATAAGCATAATAGTTCGAAATAGTATACCTGCACAATGGATAAAAGCGAATCAACTCCATCCAATGTAGAAGCACGCACAGGGACACCAATAATGGGCAAAGGAGTGAGGGCAGCTACCATGCCTGGAAAACTCAAGCGACAGTTAAATTAACCCCAGAAAAAAACATAATCACTTAGAGCAAATTGTTTATAAGACTAGCCTGGCAAGTGAGCTGCACCACCAGCACCAGCAATGATGACCTGAATGCCTCTCTCCCGAGCAGACAAGGCATAAGAATACATCAATTCAGGAGTACGATGTGCTGAAACTATTCTCACCTGGAAATTATATCAGTTTAACATCATATATTACTAAAAAATATAACACACATTTAATGGGTAATCCTTTGACATCAAACAATAACATGTGAGAAGCAAACCTCGTTAGGCACTCCAAACATATTCAAAACCTTTGCAGCATCTTTCATAACAGGAAGATCCGAATCAGAGCCCATTACAATACCAACACGTGGTGCAACTGCATTTAGAAAAGAGAAAGCAACATGAATAAAATTTGAGGATAACAAAGTGTGTTAAAATAAACAACTTGTTACGACCATTAACTAAAAAGTGAAATGAAAATGGAATCTGTATCACAGTTTGGTTTTCAAAGGGGTCTATATAAGGTACAGGGAGAAGATGGGAATTGCCACAAAATGGATTTAGAATATTTAAATTTATACAACGTTAACATTATCAATTGTGTAGGTGCCTAGTCTTTCATGCCCCAGACTGCTTTATAAATTTTCCACAATGACGATTAGTCATTTTATGAAGCTTACTAGTACATGTACTAATGAAGCCACCTGAGGTTCATATAATTAAGCACATAGGCCCGCAAAATTTGGACTAAATCTCAAAAGATGTACAATTTTTTTCGTAGTCAAAAGGAATAATTACGCAAAACCACCCTACTCAAACTACCTGCAGACTGACTTTCAGAGCTCTCTTCATTTAACATTGAATCCAGGAGCTTTTCGACATTGCCTATGGAAGGTCCAACAATGGTGATATGACCCATCTTCCGTTGCTTTCGCATTTCTGCCACAATATAAATAGTATAGGTATTAGGTAATCCTTGAGTATGAATCAAAAATGTACAAGACATTAAAAAATGGACATAAGCAGAATCTAACCTGGCTTATCATACCAATGAACAGTAGCCCCTGTAATGCACAATGCTCTTGCAATCAGTTGATGAGCTAGATGGAAACCAGGTTCTCCCTGAAAGCATAAAAAATGGCATGACAACAGCCAGCATTTGATACATCGAACACTCCACTATATATCCATGTTCATGAAAACAATTCAAAATAGTAATTCTAAGAAAAAAATAATTTGAGAACTAAAAGTCAGAAATTAAGTGCATGACAGATGGTGTTCACAAAATTGAACAGAACCTCACCTCATCTTCACCAAGTAAATTGTACATAATTGCAGCCGGAGTTTTCATTGACGGATCACCAAGTGGAAGCCCAACAACAGCCCGCAAATGCTGTTCATACTGTGAGGTGTAGCAAGACTCTATTGTGTGATGACCGCTATTGTGAGGTCTAGGAGCTACTTCATTGAGCAAAATCTGACAACAAGTCACAATACATGCATAACTTAGTTGAAAGCAGCAGAACTATGAAAGATAAAAAGCCAATACACCAATCAATAAATAATGAATAACCATAATCCAAGTTGTTAAGAGAGGTAGAATTGCTACCTGATCATCCTTTGTCAAGAACAACTCAACTGCAAACACACCAGCACCTTCTAATGAACTAACAGCTCTGGAGGCAATATCAGTGGCCAGCTCTCTGATCTTCCATGAAATGTTAGTAGGTGCCTTTACAATGTGACAAATGTTTTCCCTGCACGAAAAATCCCCAAAAATACATGAAATCATTCGGCTTTATGTGGATATTAGTAACATTTAATAAACAGATATGAAAATTTTAAGATAAAAGATTGGCTGCTGACAGACACTTAAAAATTTAATCTACAGCTTACTTGTGTATAGTTTCAACAGGGGGGTAGCAAAGGATAGAATTGTCTCTTCCTCTTGCAACAATGACAGCCAGCTCCTGAGTTAGATTGCCAAACATGTGAGGAGATTTTATTTTTGATGTACTTGTTCAGAAGCACATTTGTTTATTGCAAATTAATATTTGGTTTGTAAATCATCAAACAATGTGTTTTGCATTTATATTGCCAATAAAAGAGGAAAACATGGTTGAAAATACAGTGTAATGGTAAACTCACAAAATAAACCGTTAAAGCTCATGGTAACTGCTAGAGACCAACCTTTACAAAAGGGGCCCATTTCTCAACATATAAACCACGATCAAACCCTCCAAGAGCTGCAACAAACGTAGAATTATATTTTAAAAAATGGATAGCCTCTAGTTGAATTCAACACCAATCACAAGCCAGTTAAAATTTTGAACATATTACCAGTTACAGCAGAAGAAAGCTCATCGTCGCTCTTAGCGACAGCATTTCCACGTCCATCATAAGCTAACCTTTTACTTTTTATCATAAGAGGATAGCCAAAGAGGTCCCCTGTTCTCTTGGCACCTTCAAGATCATCTATCTACCTTTGCCACATTATACAATAAACAATAATAATCTTGCGCTATGTTATGGAAAGCAAAATTGCAAAATCATTTATTATAGTTCTTCAATTAGATAGATAAAGAGTAACTAACCTGCATAAATTCAGGAAGTGGAATATCATGCTGCGAAAAATGGACCTTTTGGAGATACTTATCCTGTTACATTTAAAGCATGAGATGCTTAGCAATACCATAATGGAACCATGCAGTTGAAAAGAGGAATACCGAATTAGTGCAACATGCTTATACTTTCATATGTAAACATGGTAACTTAAAAAATCTCCCTTAAAATGAATAGACAAACCTGAATTATTCTGATTGTAGAGGCTTTGGGTTGGCAATCCACTCCTTGTAGCTCAAGTTTCTCTAATGTCTCCACATCCACATGCTCAATTTCCACAGTCAACACTCCACATCTAACTACCATGAATAGGATTAGAGTACATACATATTAATTTCGATTACAGAGACAAAGCGGTGCTTGATGAAGAAACATGAAAACAATACAATATAAATATGGATCATAAGGACATAAATACAACCAAGTTGATAAAATGTTAACCTCTTTGCAAATTCTTGGACTGTAGCGCTATCATCAAAGCTTCCAACCATATGATGATAGGCAAGTTTACTAGCCGGGCAGTTCTCTTGTGGGTCCAATACCATCACTTTAATGGCCATTTGTGAAGCTGCTTGACATAGCATACGACCCAGCTGACCTCCTCCAAGAACACCAACAATCACTTCAGCCACTCCATGAATAGGTAAATCATCTTTCCTGCATATAAAATATTCAAATACTATAAATTTACTTATATATGTATAACAATAAGATAAAATGTCGAGTTCAAGTTGTCTAAAACTAAAATTAACACTCATGCTCTTGACATATTTTGACATGAATTTTTTTAAAAAGCAAATACTACCCGACAGGAATCACGTGAGAGCCACGTGATGAT